AGGCTCACTTCGTGAGGTACTAAACGAAGCTCCCACGGGGTGCTTTCGTGATGACCTGAGGCAAGAACAAGCCAAAGCTCCGCCACGGGCCCCATTGCTCCTGAAAAAAAAAGCCATCAGATACGGGAGGTGGTGATCTGGACTTCAAGTCCTGCGAGTATCCTTCCTGTAGTCCCCGAGTGCGTGCCGGGGCAGCCATGGTTCCTCACACGGTGGGATCTGGTAGTTTTCCCCAATAGAGGGACCCTAGATATACAGACCCTAAAATACAAAGGTACCCCTAATTTGTGGAAACCCTCAACCCTAAACCTCATATATCCCTATATTTATTCCCTATACATCCCTATCTAACCCCTGAAGCAGAAACCTGCGCACCTCCTCGGCACCTGGAACTTCCACGCCTCGCTTCACTGGGGGAAGAAAAGCCAAAAAGCCAATGTTTTGCGTATAGATATACATGCACTTAGGGTTCAGGGGTTAAGGTTTAGGCTTTAGGGCGTCTTCCTGCGCGGCGGCTGGAGGTACATAACATGTAGAAATGGCGCCCCGAGACGATCAGGGGTGTGGGGGGGGGTGGGGCGGCATTTCTTACGACGGCACATCTTTCGTGCCTTGCAAACAAAAAATTGGTGTGCTGGTTAATCTTCCCAACCCCTGCTTTCTCTGGCATTCGTTTTTGTGGCTTCGTGCGGAAAACCTAAATTCACACTTTTCTTTTAACTTTGGAAGAGAACAACGAGCCTGCTGCAGGTGGCGCCTTAGGGGCCTTCGAAGGCCTTCAGGGCCCTCTCCGGGACCTCCGGGCCTCGCGACCTTTGGGCGGCCAGGCAGCCCGATGTTCCGGGCTTTCGGGCAATTTTCGGGAAGAAGCCTGAAGACCCCCGAGCACAAGGTCGCTGGGCTTAAGGCTTCTTATAAACGACATGTGAATCACAGAAAAGGCGAAGGGTCCCCTTGGCGGGGCTCCCGCCGAGCACCTGGAGGTGCAGCTCACGCTCGACAGAACTCTTTACGCTTGCATAGTAGCTCCAAGCGATGGCGTGAGTGGCTGCCGGATGTAGTTTTGAGTCCACACACCCTAGCAAAGGGGGTGCAGCCTAAGCAGGCCTGGGCGGGAATTTACGGTGTAGGGTTAGAGGTTTAAGGGCTTATGTATGTATGTATGTATGTATGTATGTATGTATATAGAATGTGTACATAGCATGTAGTCCGTACATACATGTCAAGAGAACAACAGTATCCAGAAATATCCAGCATATTGCGTATAAAAACATCAAGACGAAGAATATGCCCTATCTAAGTGTCAGACCACAAGAGCCGGCCATGAGAATCTCCATCGCAAGTGCAATTAGACAACTGCAGAAAAGTGACATGCATGGCTGGATTAAGGGATGCGTGATAACTGGCGATATGAATATGTACTGCAGATGTAAAAACTTGGTACAAAACAGCTGTGGCAGGGACAACTACTGAAATCCATGCCGCCATGAGACTCCAAAGGGTATTCTTCCTGCACCGTGTTCTGGCTCAAGCTCGTGAGACATGAATCTGTGGCCCAAAGTGTTGCAACTGGCAGGCAGATCTTCACTCGAAGCCCCAGGCACAACCTCGCACCGCAACAGTCGCTTTTGAGCTCTTCACGAAACCCTTCCGATGCGGGGCATCTCTTCGCAGGGTGAGACGGATCAATGTAGGCATCGCGTCATCTTTGTGGGCATGCACACGCGTTGATGGCACTTGACCATCTTGAAATCGCACGGATGTTCGGCTGCGCCCCTACCATTGTGGTGCCAGCTGTCTTGACCGCTGCTCCGGCAAGTGAACTGTTGTACACTGCTCTTGCGCTGCTTAGAGCAACATGCTCTTGAATTCTCATGAGTTGGCTCAAATGCCCACCAACAGCATGGCAGTGGCACTACAGAGAACCTTACGGCCTAACGAGCTGCCTAGACTGCGCATTAGAGCTGAGGCTGTCTGTGGAAGAATTTGACATAAACGTACCAAAACTTATCATAATCATCATCATCATCATACTAGTAGTCATCATAGTCATAGAAATACTAATTGTGATGAAGTGTCGCACTCCTCTGGCCTTGAGCCATCTAACAGGCGAATACATTGCGAACATGGTCTGCAGAGGAATACTTGAGACAGGGCCAAGGCGGCTTTGTCGCTGAGTAGGGACAAAGGCTAAACGAGAACAGCAGCTGCTATGGCAAACGGCTCGAAAGTAGATTGCAATGCAAAAAGAGCGTGGCGACTCCGCACGTGAGCCTCTTGCACACATCAACGGAAGTAACAAGTGTATGGTACGATGGTGCTCTCCAACAGTTGAGCAGCATGCAGATCGACATGCAAAATCACTGCATCTTTTGGTCTCACGTCATCCGTCATTACACGGTGGGCGGCTGCGAAAAGCCTACCTGTGGACGACATGATCAAAAGAGGCCATCCAGACAAAAGCAGGGGATCACACATACATGAGCTAGGGTCTAAACTCCTAGTATCCCCCTTAGTTGCCCAACACTACTGCCCTCCATGACCGCCTTTAAGGAGTTTAGATTATGGCTCATATGTAGACCGACTGCTGCTAGCAGTTTACATTCAACTCGGCTCAAGCTTTGGTTTGCCACCTCCTCCGCGGCTCGGCGGGCGTGCTGCGTCCACACCTTGCAGAGCTCACTGGGCCCTGGCGCCTCCAAGACAAAGCAAGCTTCGAAAGGAAGGGCTGACATCGAGCAGCTCTTAAAGCTCTTGAAATGATGGGCTTGAAGCACCCAACCTGGCGCTCCAGTTGCCTTGGCGCTCGCCGGGAAGATGTTCATTTCTAGAGGAAGGGACTAATAATCTAGCGAGCCTGTGCTTCTCAGACACAAATGCTATGACAAACTAGATCATGCAGACGTCAAACTAGCAGTGCTTCAGGTGACTGTGATGCTCCATCACCTATGTTCAGGGTGCTTCTTGGCGTATTGGTATTCTCCTCTACTGGACGGCAGGTTCCAAACGACTACATTGCAGCAACTACATGGCCTGAGCCACAGCACAAGCATTTACATCCTGGCATCATGATTAGGTCAAGGTCTTGGCAGATCGCTACCAGGTATCCCTTGCTTTGCTAAGGTGACGGCAGCGCGGCAACAGCTGTCCAAGTTGGGTGCAGGTGGTCATACTCGCTTGTGGCCGGCCTGCCAATCACACACAGCTCTGCATGTATGAGACTGTGGAAACCAAGAATTTGACAACTCTTCTGCATCTTAGATTTATGCAATTCCAAGCACCAACAGCCAGCCTCTTTGAGCCAGGCGACACAAAAAAACCGTCTGCCTCAAGCGGTGTCAGTCTGCAGCAACGTCTGACATTCATCATCTTTGACGCAGTCCGCCTGCTGCCGAGACAGTAGCCATCTGCAAGCCCTTCCATGTTCCATAGCTCTTTGACGGGAAACAGGACATGCTGCCTCAAGCATTCAGCCACCTGACGATTGTCGAAGTTCCTTCTTTGTTCTCATCTAGACCGCGCAGACAATCGACAGTTTCAGCCTCCAGCAAAAAAAATCAGAGACATGCAGCGCAGCTCTGTGCAGAACTTGCTGAAACAAGCAGGCCAGGGCTTCGATGGCATCAACTGCCTCTGGTCAAGTCTCGGAATTCACTCAAACGGCCACAGTTCGCGTGCCTCCGCTTGCAAGGCTGACATCCCATCTTTCTCAGGGGACTCTGCCACGGTCCTTTCGAAATGCGCATGGATTGCGGGTTCCAAGCAAGCAGGGTCCTGGGGCGCTCGCATCCAGAAGTGTAGGCAATGATCGAGGTATGCATAGAGCCTAAACTGCAGCGGCACGTCATCCTTTACTACCGGATGTGTTTCGAGGGAGTTGCTAAACCCCAGGCCACGGGCAATCGCTCCGCCGGTTTGGCAAGCATCCATTGAAACCTGACGCCCAGCGATTTCGGCAGTCGCTTGCCCGCACAGCCGAATGCAGCAACCCGAGGTGCAAACAGTTCAAAGTGTACACCACATGCCTTGACACTCAGAAAGAAGAGGCGTGCAACCGTTAAGTGAAGCTTGCGCCGAAGGCGCGTCATCAAATAGAAGCAGTGGTAGAAGCCCTGCTTTGGAGGCAAGATGAGAGGCCGCTTGCGTATCTCTTCAAGCACCTCCAAGCCACTCGGGTCCCCCCTGCGAGTAAGCTACAGTACAAAGTGCACCTCGCGGATGCCATACTGGAGCCGCGGCCTGGGTGGAGCCGAACATGGACAATGAAGCTAAATAATAGCAACCATAGTTACTACAGTAATAGTTGCGAGGCCTTATTAATTGCTATAATTTCAGTACACTACCAATTAATTGCCAATTACTATAGATTTAATACTCATTTCTGTAGTTTTTAATATTACTAGAGCTCTAATGTAGCTTGCTGCGACCATCTCGGTCTTCGACACATCATCTAAGAGCCCACAGACCAGGCTTCGCTCAACGGTCCAGACCTTAGTATAGTCCCCCTTAAGTAGATCGACTATGGGGTAGATGGGTATATTGCTAATTATGTTATTATAGTGCCCCCCGAAAGTAGACAACTTATGAGGGGGATCTTAGTCAGTATGATTTGGGGGAACTCTATATCAAGGTTATCTATATCTCAAGGATCACAAGTGCTCTTCTAGAAGGCCTGCATCAGAGTGTCGCAGAGTTCTGCGCAAGATGCAGTTTTCAGACCTCAGCCCAATATGTCCCCTATATAACCCTATATCAAGCCTAAATAATCTCTATAATCCCTGTAGTTTCCATTTTCTTTTCCATTATCCAAATGTATCCCCAACGCATCCCGAAAAAGAGCCGTCAGACTTCCAACGGCAGAAAGGCAGCGGTGTGTCATCAACAGGTCGACGACCAAAAGTTGCTTTGTCTTCAAATCCCACGATACAGAAAAATCTTCTGGGGTGCTTTGGTTAGGTCAGACAAGACAAGGACGGAAACGGAAACAGTACAGGCCGAAACCCATCAAACAGTCTCGACGAGGAACCTTCCAGACTGCAGCTAGCCAATTCCTGCATACACTTCAATGCTGCCAACCATCTCCAGATCAGCGCAGCGCAGCTTGCACGGGGCGTCCTCCATGTTGCCTTTCAGCTGCTGCAGCGCCTTCGTGGAACGCAGCGTAAGAACGGTTTTCAACTGACCGACCCACTTGCTGTTACTCTTCAGCTCGAGGATGCCCCAGCTTCTCTTCAAGTGCTGGCAGCTCAGCATGCCAACATGCCCTGATTTGTGGAAGATTTCAACCAGTTTTCAGCCAAGAAGATCAGCCCCTAGTCTCTCAGTGGCTCAGCGTGCTCACGCAGCCTTTGCCTGTGGATGCACGTCTGAGCCTTCCTCCGTTTCCAGAAGCACCAGTCATTGTGAGGACTACAGGTGAAGTCCGGAAGAATGTCTGGCATAGGGCTCCAACAATTAAGAAGGCATAGCCGAAGCCTACATTTTACATGAGAGCCATTTCGACTCCCTTGAGCAGAAGGTTCAGAAGAAGGGGTCATGACTGGGCTATACAAGAGTTATGTAGGAATCATGTAGCAGATACGTTAGCTTCCCCACCTCAACACAGCCTTCCACCAACCATGGCTCAGGAGCCAGTCCAAGCTCCTGAAGAGTTTTGCAATGGTTCCCATCTATGGGTTATATGGGGTTATATAGGTATGATGGAAAAGAAAATGGAAACTCTTTAGGGTCTAAGGTTTAAGGAATAGGGTTTAGGGTCCATCCTTTCGCTTTGCTCAAGCACGTGCAGCTCCTGGTAGAACCAGAGCTCCCCCAACCCTTCGAAGAGCCATTCCTGAAAAGCTTCTTCACATCATGGGCAACATGAGCCGTAGTCTAAACCCTTAGCATTCACCTGAATAACCCCTATAATACTCCCCTATATATAATCCCCGATATAACCCCCTTTAAAGAGTTTAGACCCCAAACCCTGTATAGCCCTTAGCCCTATATACCCCACCTTTAAGAAGTGTAGGCTCTAGCTCACATGAAACCAAGCAGAGAATTGAGACAAGTGTCACTGTCGAGGCCATTGGCTTTCGCTGACCTGGCCGGATGCAAAGTCTGATATGGGCCCTTAATCCTGGTGTCCATGCACATCCAGCCTTAAGAAGAGCAACCAATATACACACAAACGTATATATGTAATATGCATATACATATATATATATATATATACATATGTATGTGTATGTCCATATATATATATATATAACCCTTAAGGCTTAAGGCGCACAGAATCCACCAAAAAAGGCCGTGAATATTTTTCACCAGCATGTGCTTCTGAGCAGGTTGCCGTAGCCGAGAACTCAAGCTCTTTGTCAAGGTCTCGGCCATGAACTTCAACCGATCCTCAGCAAAAACAGGATTTAGGGTTTAGGTTGACGGGAGGAGGAAAAGGGAGACCGCTGAAAAGCACATGTTTGCTTCTTCTTTGCGAGGAGCTCGGCGAGGTCCAGCTCTCTCCAGCTGCCCAACATCCCAGAAGATCCCAACCGCCTCAGCAGAAGACACGTCTGAAACAAAAGGGAAGGGAAGTGAAGGTTCTGAAGGCCAAGGAAGGGCAACTAGAGGTTCTTTTCAGGAAGGCTGTGCGCGCCTGCTCTCCGACAGCCCACAACCGATCCTCCTCCTGCAAGTAGGTGAACATGGCCTGGATATGCACTCTGCGGAGTCTGCGTGCAGTGCCACTTGCAATTAAGGAAAGGATCTGGTGCCTCGTAGGCCTTGTCACACGCTGCCGCTGCCTGAAGATCTACAATAAGAAACGCGACGACATGGTAATACGAATAATACTAGTAGGCATAACCCTATTAACAATACTAACAATACTCCTAATCCTGGTAATCGTGATAGTAATAGTAATAGTAAGACGTCAAGTTGCTTCGTCGGCCAACTCGCAAAGGTCCGGCAGGTTCTCCTACGAAGGAATTGCGTGCACATTCGAACACATCAACTGCATTCCTTGAAGAAGCTTTTTTTTCGAGCAAAAGCGTGCTAAAGGATTCTCACACCTATGTGGACACATCCATTTGCAGGAAGAGCATGGCTTCAAGTAGGCTTCCCACGTCCAGGTCTTCTTGTTCCTGAGCCTCACAAATCATGTGCCAAGGGTCTTCTGCGACGTCCCCGAAGTGTCGTCGCCTCGAGCTCCTCCGCAGCGTCGAGGAACGCTTCCACGGTCTTTCTCAAGTCCAGAACCTCGGTAGCTTCGGGTCTTGGCGGCGCTGCAGGTGTGGGTGTGCCCACCCAATGTATTAGGGACCACAAGGGATAGTGGTAATTCTACAAGGATCCCTATATATTCCTGTAGTACCACCATTAATGGGTTGGGCTCCCGGCATATCGGCTATCTGGAGTTTGCTGGAGCTGCTTCTTGCATAACTCCATGGCGGCTCGGAAGTCCTTCTTGGAGACCGTGGCAGCAAACTCCTCGCTTTAGGGTTTAGGGTTTGGGAGACTTTCTCTGCTTCGGCGACATAAGGTGACCCCAAGAATCCGTCGAAACCCGAAGTACTAGAAAGTAGTTTCCATTTTCTCTTCTATTCCCCCTATATATAACCCTGGATATCCCTGCATAAGCCCCATACAAATAGCTGTCGTCCTCCAGGAAATCCTCCATAACCTGGCACAGTCTCAGTTGCCAAGTTTTCAGGAGGAGTTGCCTAGGACTCAAAGGACTATATGGGGACTAGATTATATAGGGATATTACCCCCAAATAAAGAATAATGAAAAAAAAAATCATGGAAACTAGAAGTTACCATGCCATATTGGGTTATATATTGTGATATTATAAGGGTGTATAGAGGAATATTACAGCAAGAATGGAGAATCAAATGGAATATGAAATGGAAAATGAGATGGTAACTAGGATTTTAGTATCTGTGGAGGCTTAAGCCGAGCCCAGGGCCTCCTCCAATATGAGCTATAGTCCAAACTCCTTAAAGCGGGGTGAAATAGGAAGTATATAGGGGAGTAGAAAAGGGACTATTTAGGGGGGGACACTAGGAGTTTAGACGGCGGCTCATATGCTGTGCGTTAAAAAGTCCAGTGTGGGAGGAAGCCGATTCTCTGTGGGTGGGCTTTACCCATCTGGGATCGAACGAATTACTTGAGATTTAGTCTAAACTCCGTATCTCCTTGATGAATAACCCCTACAACACTCCCCTGTATAATCCCCCACATAACCCCCTTTAAGGAGTTGAAACCCGAAAACCTATATCATCCCCCTTAAGGAGTTTTGGCTATAGTATAAGAGCTGTCTTTGGAATCCATTCTCAAAGTGGTTTATCTGCTTCCAGCCTTCTTTCTGATGGCGAGGTGCCAAAAGGCTGGGCAGGTTGTCCCAAGGCGCCATGTGCCAGCTATTTTTCTTATGAATTATTCCTATTGTGACAATTCTTCTTGTTACGATTACTAGCACTATCATGTTGCTATTGATATTAACTTTGTTGTTTCCATTATTACTGCTACTGTTACTACCATCATTACTAGTATATACCGTGTCCCAGGAGTTCTTGGATGCCATCCCACAGCTTCTGTGAGTGACAACTTTGCTTTGACTTGGTTGAGATTAGACCTGTGTCTGGTTTACCATGAGAAAAGAATAAGAGCGAAAATATTATAATAATAGTAATGAGACTAATAATAGTGGATGCTCTGGCTAGAACATGACATGGTGAAGTACGAAAAGAAGCACCGCTTGGAAGAATGCAGTCAGAATCATGTCCCGTCACCACAGCACTTCACAAGTTTCTGGCCTTTTCTGATGCTAGCGGATGGTCATGGATGCTTTGCCGTCCTCCTGCTGAAACTGAATGTCCTACACTACAAGCGAAATTTGCTTCGCCGCGAAAACAGACGATAAATACCTCGCGGGTGCTGTCGCCTGGCTGATTTGCTGATGCTTAGAAAGCAAACGCCCATGTCAAACAGACGCATGTACATTGACGTGACGAAGTAGACAAAACGTGATGCCTATCCAGACGCACGAGCCCGCTGTCATTAACAGTTGGAGGTGATTCCGCTCAGTCAGCGCTGCCCTCACGGAATGTGAAAACCACTTGGCGCTACTTCAATGGTGCAGAGGAAGCGAAAGACCTGCACCAGGCGTGCGCAAGGCGTGTGAAACTACTCGCCAGGGCCTAATTAACAATAGCCATGATAGCAATACAATGTGAATACAGTTAATAATAGCAATAATGGTAATAGGATTGCAAGAAACCTCTGCAATGACGGCATCATGACCGAGGTATTGAGCAGGGGTGGCCTGGGCAATAGCTGGTGTGCTGGTTTGCCGTCACGGAATTCTCTGAGGGCCACGCATCTGGATGCCACATGGCTTTCAGCCGCCGTAGGGCCTCGACCGTTATCATCTCACCCTAAAGCCTCCTGAGACCTTGATATTGGGAATATAGCCTATATTTAATATAGGGGTATACTATATAGGGAGGGTAGAGGGACTCTATTGATGCAATTTGAGGGCAGTATAGTCATGACATGAAACCTGAGACGCGGTCGCTGTTTCGCACAGATGTAGGCAGCCGTGCGACCTGAACTGGTTGCAGCGTGTCGATCAGGGGGTGGAGGGGGTAACCCCATAAACCCTACATGATCGCAAGTAACCCCATGTAACCCCATATAAACCCTACTTACGTAACCCCATATGACCTATAGTGTAAACTCCTAGTATCCCCGTTACTAGCCCCTGTAGTAACTATAGCTCATGTAAGCCCTATCAGGGGGCATCGCAAGGTGCTACTTCAGGGCCTTGCTCATCAGGAAGACCCGGAGGCGAGCGATCTCTTGCTGCGCGGAGGCGGCTTGTCTCGGCCGCATCCCAAGCAAATCTCCCACGTGCTCCTCCACAATCTCGACCTCCCAGGTAGCTTACCGGAGGTTAGTAGGCAATAAGGGAATATAATCCCAATACATTTCCCATATAATGCATTCCCTTATTCCCTACTAAACCTCCAGTAAGATAGGGAACGCCGGAAAGCAAAGGATGTCTAGCCTTACAAATGCTGCCTCCGGTTGGTCTGTCTGTCGTATTCGAAGCCGTATTCGCCCTCCCTGCACCTCATGCCAAGATGTCCCTTCAGAGAACTTATACAGGCTGTTGAACAGCAGCCTGGTGCTGTTTGCATGTACAAGGCACTAAGAAATCCTCGTGAGAGGCAAGCCATTTTCTGGGGACCGAGAACACCTCCATCACCTGTGTGAGAGGAACGCTTCCTCTGCTGGCTAGGAACCTGGGATGCGACACGCACAAAAGCAAATACTGCAGAATTATTACTGTTCTTACTGCTATGACTATTACTACTATATTACTACTATTACTATTGTTATCTTTGCTGTCTTTGTTATTACTCTTCTGCCTGCACTGCCCTTAAGCCCTGGCATGTTGATGTTCATTCCGAGGCGCTCTTTGATGTTTCTTTCTTGCCTTTTGTGTCCCTGCCAAAATATGCAGCTGCATTCATGCAACACTTCGGCATTGGTCAAGGACACTCAAGGCAGGCTCCTGCTTTGACTTGACGACGTCGTCAGAAGTGATTTCGAAATGTTCTTGCCTGGACTGAGCGCAGCACTGCGAACTACAAACGTATTCCTTGTTTTCATCCACTGCTTGCGCATCACAAACAAAGTACTGACTCCACAAGCTGAGAGGCAAAAAGTTGCGGTTGATGCCGCTCATCGCACTCTTTAAGGCCCGGATGTTTGCCGAACCTCCGATGCGAGATAGGTACTGCTCCACTGCTTCCACCTCTGCGGGATAGTGAAGCGGACTGTGGGGGTGCAGCAGCGCAGGGCAGGAGGGCCTTACTAGCTGTGGATGCCGTGGAGGGCTTGCCGGCAGAACGAGCCGTCAAAAAGCCGTGCACACCGTGATGAATTCGAGGAGGGCCTCAGGGACCCAGCTGACGCTCAGACACTCAGCAAGGAAAAGTCCATTTGGGGGTTTCCTAAAATTAGCAATACCATACTGGGGGTCCCAAAATAAGGGTCACAATATATTGGGGCTGTGTGGAAACTGCCATTTCAGTCGGGGCTCGCTGCGCTGGCCGTCCGACGAGCACGGGAAAGGCATGAGAGGAGGCAAAGGCAACGGCCGCGGCCTCCCAAACCCATCGTCGCATTCCACCGAAAGACACAGATCAAGCCGGCAAAAAGAATTTCATGCGTCACAGGGGTATGGAAGGTGTCAAGTTGCTTGACCATGCTGTGGACAGCATGAGAGTCTGTTCATTGTCATTCTTGTCAGAAATGGCATCGGGAAAGGTTGGAAAGCACGAGTAGTGCCGCCATGGGTTGATGCGCCCTCAACACCTCAAGAGCCTCCAGCCCCTCAAGCACAGTGCTCCGCTTTTTCAGGGCGAGTTGAGCGCCGTTTGGCGGGAGGTTTCGCCAGGCGCGCCGTCAGTGTGGGTCTTCACGTCGGGCGCAGCATTTCCTTTGAATGCAGATCCACAGGCAATCGCTCGCGGAGTTGCAGGGGTGAGCAGACAACGCGAGGGCATGCCCGGGCAAGAAAGGACAAATTTCTTGTCTCATGTAAAAGGTCAAATAATTGGGGGTACCTGTGTGCCCTACTTTGGGAGGTACCAAACCTATCTAGCCTAGGACAGGTTGCTTCGCAAGCTATCCACTGCCGCCTTGACCTGCTCAGCATGGCTACTGTCTTGAGACTTGCGTAGTGCAAGGCCCATCAGGCCAGAGAACGGCATCTTGGCCATAAATCGATCAAGTTTTCCCTGCTGCTTCTGGTTGAGGCCCGATGTGCTGTCCAGCTGGCTCACGCGAATCTTCAGCAGCTGCAGCACCTCCTCAGCAGCGTCCACGAAGCCCTTGTCAGCCGCACGGGCTCGGGCGTGCTTCAACGCAGGCACCAGAAGATCAGACTCGTTGGCAACTTGCAAGATGGCTCGGACTTCCTTGTTCGCGGTCACAAGAGGGGTCTCCACGTGCGAGAGGTGGCAGTAATCACAGGAGGAGCCAGCCGCACACCATCCCCTCGCAAAGTTGACGCAGGGCCTGTGGCAAACCTTGACAGAACATCTTGCACACGTAGACAAAGAGCTCGGTGGACAGGGGAACTAGTAACTAGGAGTAGGGGAGCATGCCTGAATACCTAAATTTGAACAAAATGCATCGAAGCCGCCTCTGGATGTCCAAGGCTTCCTTGAGACATCTCAAACTCCGATTCAGAAATGACGGAGCTCTTGCTGGAGACGCGCAGGCTGTTGGTGCTCTCTTGGGTCTCTGCTTCCGTAGAAGCCTCGGCGCCTGCCTCCTTCTCATTGTCATCCGTCTGCTTAAAACCTCCTCCCTGGCGCTTCTTGCGAAGCCAGTAATGGAGTTGGTCTGCACGGCTTTTCAAGGCACTTGCATACGTCTGCTCTGCAGTCCGCTCAACTGGGGGCTCGCTCTGCGAGCGTCTCTGACACGTCGCCGACCTGTCTTCTTCGTCTTCGGCATGAATGAAGGTCCTCTGACAAGTGAGCTTGAACATCTTGTCAAGCCCGGCTGACTACAGGGGTTTCTTGTTAGCGCTTATTGAGCATAGAGAATACTGAGCGGCGGATCGGGGTTCAGATTCATGGCCTGCAAAGGAGCGATGCGATCATGCGCAAAATGCATGTCAAGCGTGTCGAAAGCACCCAGGCTTCCTGTTCTTTTTGAACAGTATGCCTCTGCTCGAAGCTAGCGGCACGTCTTTACACCGCGTTGTGAGACTCTGCAGCACTCACCAGAATCCATCGGTAGGAGCCTGAGCAGGAAGCAGTGATCTTCCGAAGACTCAGCAGAGCTTGCATCCTTGAGGTAGCCACCGGTGCGCGCAGCACGGGCGCAGGCCTTCAAGAAGCAGAGATGCTAATGCCACAACCTGCATCTATGCGACAGCTCCGGCCTGTTGCTCATCGGGTATCTCTTCTGGTGCTCGACAAGCGCCTAGCCCAAAGCAGCTTTCCCCAAACCGAAAGACTTCTCTCTTGCGGCGCCTCTGTGATCTGCTTGTCCACCAGCTCCAGATCAGAGAGGAACTCTCCTCATCACTGCTCACTGCTGGCGACATGGAGAAACAAAGCAGCAAGGGTGCAAAGAGGCCTTTTTTAGACAGCTTGGCCACCTGCTACTGCAAAGCTGCAAACTTCCGCACAGCTTCATGCTGACTTGAAGAATGTAGATCTTGCCTGGGCAGCTTCCAGGGTCTTCCCAGAAGCAGCAGCAGCCTCAAGTACCTTCGAAACAAGCGCTGGCCGCTTTGCAAAGATGGAATACAGATTTGCAGCCTCTATCTCGCGAAGCTTCTTGCGAAGCTTCATCTCTTCTCGAGCCTTATTCACTCTGCACTTTGAGGCATCTCGGGGTCTATTGGGACAGGCACAAAATCGCGCACGATAGGATCGATCTTGGCGAGCTCATTCACCTCCAGACAGCAGGGCAAGTCTCAGACCGAGAGCCAGAGCGATAGCGAACATGGGGCGAGAGCCCGGAGAGAGAGCGGGTAAAGTGGGGAGAGGTCAGATCAAGAGATGCAATAGTAATAGTAATACAAAGAGTAATAGCACACAATCGGGCTTGCCTGCGCTTGCTTGACGGAGTCAGAAGATGCTGCGCTCACCTCCACATTGCCAAGAATGTCTCCGGCAAAGAATCAAAATCTGTCGAAGATCCTCGGTCTCTTCAACGAGACCCAGAACTTAGCCCTGAAGCTGGCGCAGTTTTGTCCCGTATCGTTTGCGTCCTTTGCGCACGATTGACTGCAATCAAGGTCATTTGCACAACCGCTCTCCAGTCTTTGGAGCTGCGGATGCTTTGTGGATCCACATGAATGGCGCGCTGGCACGCGCTCTGCTATCCTCAACAGGTTGGCACCAAAGCTCGTTGGCATGAAGGTGCGACAGCAATTGGCAAACCGTCTTTTCAGATTGCCAGAGCCACTAAACTATGCTTTGCTAGTCACGTGCTGGTGTCGTCTCCTGGCTCGGTTCAAGAAGCAGACATGCTTTTTGTTTGAGTCGTACAGTGACTCGTCGCCTCTGCAAGCGCCGGTACAAAGGCTCCAGCCCAAACCAAGAGATCATAGACCTGTACAGGCATGCTTTCCATGCTGGCCATGCGGGTGTGTTGAAGGGTGGCTGAAGGTGTCTGCCGGGCGACCTGCTTCCGACCGTGCATTGCCGCGAGTGTGGACGGCGTATTGCAGTCCACCTCCCGGCATCAACGTGACACATGCTCCATCTTGCACGCAACTCACTCAAAAGCCAAGATGTTCAACAAAACCAAGAGGTCCTTGCTCACGACGGACGGATTGCTGCCAAAATCTAACAACGCCGAGACCTGGAGCACAAGATGTGGAATCTTGAGCTGATGAATGAGACGGCTCAACACGTGGCAGCACGACCACTGCCACATTGCTTCTGGCTGCCTAAGGACATGCCATAAATGACAATAAGATAGCAAAAACAAGAGTGGACATAGTATTGGTAATACTGTTCGAAAGTTGGGGTCCGGCATGCATGATGGCTGTATGGCCATTGATGTCCTGTCCAGATCAAGAGATAGTTTGGTGCAAGCTTTTCTTACCAAAAGAGGTTCGCAGTGGCTTCACATGCCTCCTACGGACACCGAGGTATGTGCACATACCTCCCGGCCCCTCTCCAACAAACCTCTGCCGCTGTTGGACATGAACTCCTTTGCCCACTAACACTGGCACTTTGAAACCCTTCCCTCAGCTCATCCATCGCGCATGGCAGCTTCTGGGTTTTCTTCGCATCTACAGCCCAACGACCACAACGCCTGCGTGACCCTCCCGCTTGCATTGGGGCTGCCTCCGCAGCCGTATTGGCCCCAGACACCAGCAGCATCCGCGCAACCTTTACCAGGGAAACATGAGCTACCACGAAGCGTGCGGCTTCATTAATGCCTGCTCGTGCCCTGCAGCTGCAGCCAACATCAGCGGTGTCTCCTTCCTCATGCCAACCATCTCTGTGGCACAGGCCCCATCAGCTGCTTTTTCTGGGAGCTAGGCCGAAGATTGCTGGAGTTCACGTTCGCTTGGTACTGCAAGAGCTTGCGCACCATAACCTGAGCACATTATTCATAGGATTGCTGATCCACTTTAAGCCACTTCCCCAACGCCTCGCTTCCGGCTCTGGACGCTTCTGCCAATGCCGAGTTGCCTATCGCTCCAGCAACACTCCAAAAAACAAATCTTGAACTGGGTGAGGCACGTCTCTCTACAGGAGCTATAATCTAAACTCCTAGTATCCCCCTGGATAACCCCCAATTATAGTACTCCCCTATATTATCCCCAATGCAGCCTGTTGCTCGGTTGGTGGCGTTGACTGGCGCCCCAGCTCGCAGCATGGTCTCCAAACACTCCTGCAAGCTGCATATGTTGCGGCACATCTGCTTACATGAGCTATGGCCTAAACTCTTATAGGGCTTTATAGGGGATCATATACGGAGCATTATAGTCATTGATTCATAAGGGGGATACTAGGAGTTTAGACTATACCAGCTACATCCAGCAGAGCCATGGGCTTTGCCAAGCCTCGTGCCCATTCTTCACACATGCGCTGAGGGCAGAGTCGCCGATCTTGTTCGCCAGGGAGACTGACCTGGTCCGAACATGTTCCTGACACCTTGCTAGAAGAAAGCTTTGCCGGCAACTAAAACAAAATCCGGCGACGTTTAGGATTTAGGGTTTAGGATCTAGGGTTAGGGTGTCCAGGAGCCCATGGTACGGACTCCCAAGCCATCAGCAAACGGGGCAGCTGAGCTCGGGGCGCTCCGGCACAAAGCAAGACCTCGAAAAGGCACTGCCACTGCGCTGCGTGCAGTGTTACGGGGAAGTTCACAAAGACCCGGCCTTCAGGACCTCACCATGGCCCTGACAGGAAAGCTCTTTGAGCCCGAAGCCGAAGCACAGAAGTGAATTTTTCCTGCCTCCTCCGCAGCCAGCATCAGTGCTGTTGACTCCTGCAAGTTATGTTCATTAGGCTGAGTCTTGGTCTGCACTCTGCAGTCCTGCAGGTCCCCAATGTCAACGGAGGCACCTGCCTTCACGGCAAGGGAAGCAAAAACAGAGAAAGCAAAGGTGCGGCGCCTGGACCAGCAGCTTCGAGACTTCGGCGTGGCCGCGCCACGCAGCCCGGTGGAGGGCCGTCCTGAGACCCCTTTTGTTTGGGGTGGCCCTCAGTGAACCGCGCAGTGCTGCGAAGACGTGCTCGGTGTTGTGCTACATCTGCTCCTGCCATCTGCCTCGCAGGCGCCAGTGGCCGCAGCACCGCAGTTCACCAGCATCCGCACAACCTGCTCGGTGCAGCTTGAAACCTTGAAAGATCTTGAAAGTGCTGAATGCAAAACGATCCCAAAGCCGCTGGCAGCCCCGGGCTAGGCCTGTACTTGTCCAGACGAAGCGGCGATCATCAAAGGTGTCAGGCCGCTCTTGCCGATATTCGGGTTTGCGCTGGCCTGCAATCGGTCTTGCAGCAATTGGCTGAGAACCTCCGATCATCCAATCATCAGCACGGAGCCTGCAGCAGCAGCGCAATCACCTCCAGCACAGCGGCCGCACGGCTGATAAGAGATGAGGCTGCTTGAGGCTGCTTCTTTGAACGTTGCTGAAGTGTGCCTCTATATAGCCACCGCCCACCGCAAGCATCAGGGCCTAACAGCTCCAAGAAACGGGGAACACATGCGCCTTCCAGTCTCGCTGTGCAATGGGCATTGAAGCCGCCGAAGTTGATGCAGTTGGGATCACCATGAGCATTAAGCGCCTTTCCATAGCTGATCATTCCAAGGACGACTCCAAGCAAAATCCCTACTGGTACAGCATATCTTAACAGATCATAGTATAAGATCGTATATTATATTCTAGTACATTATGTTATTTCATTGTCTTTTATGATATTTCATAGGCCTCCACAACCCGGCTGGAGTCGCCGCGCTGCGCTCCCTCGAAGACGGCCTCTGCACTGCACCGAGTTGGTCAGAACGTTGTGTCAAAAGCGCAAAGCCAAACGAAAACCAGGTTTTAGCTGCAAAGGCCTATAGATATACTATCAGATACAATAACATACTACAATGTCTTATACTGTTGCGACTTAAATTATACTATACTAGACTGTACTATAATATACTATAATCTGCTATCATATACTGTGATGTACCTTATTTACAAGTACTATATACCATAATCCACTATGATATAGTATTATGTTGTGGATCATGTTTCGGCATCTGGGACGTGGAGCCTGGGATGCTGCCGACATCATCATCTTGTCGTGCCAGTGCCTGGACCATGAGGTCTTGCACAGCAATAAAATTGTAAAAATAAGAATGGCAGGCGGAATAACAATGACACTGATTGTGACAATGACAACAGAAATAGAAATAGCAGGAAAAAACGGAGAACAGGAGGAACAAGAATGATAAGAATACAAGAGGAGTAACAACCATAGTAGTAATACTACTATGAATAGTACCAAGAATAGTATTACA